ATCTTATTTCTCACAAATGTTTCCTGCCATGACCTATTATATTGCAGATTGTCTCCAGATTTTCTTAGCTATTTTACTAAACTAGCATTAACTTTTAAATTGAATTTGGTTGCTTCCATGTCCTGGCTATGATAAACAGTGCTGCGATGAACATTGGGGTGCAGGTGTCTCTTTCAGATCTAGTTTCCTCGGTGTGTATGCCCAGGAGTGGGATTGCTGGGTCATATGGCAGTTCTATTTCCAGTTAACCTAGATGCCCATCAGCAGACGAATGGATAAGGAAGCTATGGTACATATACACAGTGGAATATTACTCAGCCATTAAAAAGAATTATCCATGGCTGATTCATGTCAGTGTATGGCAAAAATCACTACAATATTGTAAAGTAATTAGCCTCCAACTAATAAAAATAAATGAAAAAAAATTGAAATAGTCTTCAACATTTTGTACAAAGAATATTTCATTATTACCGGTGGTACTTACTCAAATAAACAAGGTAGAAAAATTTTTTTAAAAATTAAATTTGGGACTTTTAGAAAAACAACTATATGTACCTTTCAAATATGTTTCCTTTCCCATACTTAATATTTCTTCATAGCTATCTCATTGCTTAAACTATCTAGGATAATTAAAAAATAAACACATTGTCAAACTACTTGTATTTCGGCCCTGAGTCTGGGGAACTGCCCTAATGTGTTGTCATTGTGATGTTTTTGGCTAATGGTGTGAAGATGAGGTCTCAATGGTTTTGAAAAATATCTCCCATACTAGGTTTCTGAGAATATCTTGTGCAGAATTCAATTACAGGATTATATCTTAAAACTGAACCATCCTCAGAGTTTTAGGTTAACCTTAGGTGACTTGGTTTTTCATTACTGCTTTCTGCTCTTAGGGTTTTATTTAAGATTCTCTTACGTTTATAATAGAGATTGGTGTGTAAGCCTCACTTTTGGGTTTTCTCTTGGTAAAAGGGTGAAAGACACTAGGAACTGGCATTTACTAGGCTACTGCTACCACTAGGATAATGCATTAGTGTCTAACATATACTCATTTTTTTGCAGTTTTGTAAGTATTTCTGGTTTCATATTATACTAGTTTGATTAATAAAAGTATTGCTGAATTTATCTTTCAGTGTTTACTTCAATGCACATATCATGCGAATTATCATGAACTTCCTAGAAAGTTCAAAGAATTTCCATATAAAGACAACCTATTAATAGTTCCAAGACTTTTGTGGAGGTAATTATTTTATAATTGTTTCCATTTTCCCCCTTGATTGTCAATTTGGCCAGTAAGAACTTAAAAGGCCTTTGCTGACTGCAGTCCTATGTACTCATTCAGAATTCTCACTTGTATTCATTCTTACTCCCTTCAAAAAAAGACCCGCACACAGAGGGACTACACATGAACAGAAAGCATTGCTTTTCATCTCTACTGAATTTCAGTAAAATCACCATCTCCTTTCACCCCTGAGCCTCCATACTCCCTTATAAAAATTCTCACCTCTCTGCCTGGCTAGCATAACTATTGTTGAGATGTACTACACAATGCCCACCGCTCTCCTATTCACAGGCTCGTATTTTATTGTTGATTTTATTAAACTCCATAAGAACAGAGATGTCTATTACACACCACAAATGAGATAATCACTGAATAGGTTTTTCTGACAGTAGACACGTTTTGTCATACTACTTCTGCTAGATCTCTGTGATGTTACCTTTGCTTTCTTCCTTTTTCGTTTCCTACTTGGCTCTTGCCCCTGACTTGGCCACACACACAGTATTTTGTGCTTTTGAGAATACATATTAAATGCTACCAGTGGATAGCTTAATTATTTTTAAAAAATACATTGATATGAATCAGCCATGGATAACTAATATAAATAAATGAAAAAAAAAATGCTTCAGTTCAGTTCAGTCGCATGAGGTGGCCAAAGTATTGGAGTTTCAGCTTCAGCATCAGTCCTTCCAATGAACACCCAGGACTGATCTCCTTTAGGAAGGACTGGTTGGATCTGTCTGTTGTTCCATGTCCAGTTCTAACTGTTGCTTCCTGACCTGCATATAGGTTTCTCAAGAGGCAGGTCAGGTGGTCTGGTATTCCCATCTTTCAGAATTTTCCAGTTTATTGTGATCCACACAGTCGAAGGCTTTGGTGTAGTCAATAAAGCAGAAATAGATGTTTTTCTGGAACTCTCTTTTTCAATGATCAGTGGATGTTGGCAATTTGATCTCTGGTTCCTCTGCCTTTTCTAAAACCAGATTGAACATCTGAAAGTTCATGGTTCACGTATTGCTGAAGCAATATAACTAATATAAATGAAAAAAATGCTTAAATGTTTATAACTCAAACTTTAAAAATGTGCGAGAAAACATTTTAAATTCTCAATTTATGGAAGAATTTTGCACTTTTATTTCCCAATTCTGGCTCCTTGTTCCTCTCATCTAGTTTCCTGTTTATATACAATATGTGATCACCTTCATGTTTTACATTTTATATTTGTGAACCAGCCAGGTTTCAGTGAGGGAAGGGAAAGAGGACCTTCTGTAGGGTTGTGGGTCAACTTTAATGTTTATATTTGTAAGTTCAGTTCAGTTCCTCAGTCGACCCCATGGACTGCAGTACCCATATTTGTAAACAATGTTACAGTTGGTCAGACTTCCTTCTAACAGTTTAATACTCAGGGCCAATCCTTTTAAGTCTCAACTTCCTATGCCTGAATTACTTTTGATCACTTTTCAGCATTTCCTATAATTTGGGTACTATGTTAGTACACTGCCCCTGTATAATTTTTGTTAACTTTAGAAGTGAATTACTAAACAGCTAAGAAGTCTTGTTCAAAATTTTTTTTTCACTTAAAAAGTATTGCCTAAGAAACACATTTTAAATTTTACTTAAATTTATTGCTTACTCACACCACATTTGTTAGAAACATTAATCACTCCTTCTATTCCAATTAAACCAATTATGCAAACTCCTTCTCTGTAAAGTCATGGCCGCTCCAATTTCAAGTGGGCCATCAGGGTTTTTCTTTGCATCTGTTACTCCAGAACTCCTCTGCTCTTCTCAAATCTCTGAAACCAGCAAACTAGAGCACGGAAGTCAAACTCAGCCCACTGCCAGCTGCTGTACAGTTCTAATGGAAGAGTCACCTTGTGTTTAGAGTCCACGGCTGCTTTCACATTACAGTGGCATGGCCAGTGCATAAAACATTACTACCGAGTCCTCTAGTCACTTTGTTGCTTGTGTGCATGCTCAGTGTCCGACTCTTTGCGACCCCATGGACTGGTGCCCACCAGGCTCCTCTGTCCGTGAAATTCTCCAGGCAAGAATACCAGAGCCGGTTACCATTTCCTACACCAGGGGATTTTCCCAACCCAGGGATGGAATCCACATCTCCTGCATTGGCAGGCAGATTCTTTACCACTGAGCCCCCTGGGAAACCCAGGATCCTAGGCTTTTTCAATTGCATGCCACTTCCAATTTTTCTTATGCGTGCGAAATTTTCAAATGACCTGCACATACTTTGGGAATTTATCAAGTACATATTCTAAAAACCTGCTGTGGCGGTAATATCACAGTCTTCCTGACAGTGGTTGCTTTTGTGCGTGTGTGCATGCTACTGTTGCTATTCCTAAACCCCACAATTTTTTTCTTTGCACTTACCCATTAAGGCCTGGTCTGAATTTGGACAAGAGGTAATATCAGATACCAGAGGAATTGTTTGGCTCTGATGTTACAGACTGGACAGAACTATACCTGAATCCTTTACCAATGGAAATTAAGGGCAGAGGGCAAGAGATGGAGGGAGAAGGGGAAATGAAGTCCTCATAACAGGGATGATAAGCTCCTTTGCCACCATCCACTGCAAATGCATGGAAAGCTGGGCACAGAATGTAAGAAGGCAGCAATAATGTAAATGTCTCTACTTATGTCTTCTATCTAAAAATAGTGATCAAAGCAAATGCCAGTCTTGACTTCTCTTAGAAATGAATGAGGAGAGAAATGAGGAAAACACAACATTCAAGTGTTCTAAAATAAAGTATGAAGGTGGCCAGCTGCTGCAGAATAAGGGAGAAGGTCATATATAGTTCAAAGTTTACAGTATGACCACTTGTCCTATCTTACTGTAGCTGTATAGGTAATACTTTAAGTGTTTCAACCCTTTTATTCTTTTAAGGATAATTCAGTGTGTGTGTGTGTGTTGAGGATACAGACTTTTCACTGTACATTTCTGTCACTTTGGCCATGTATTTGTGTATGTATGTAAATTTTTGGCCACATTTTGTGGCATACGGGATCCTAGTTTCCTCACCGGGGATAGAAGCCATGCCCCCTGTATTGGAAGACAGAGTCTTAACCACTGGATAGCTAAGGAAGTTCTTGGCCATAACTTTTAAGCACTAAATATGTTGCTGCTATCAAGTTGGTCCAGTAATATGGTGTCCGAAAGTTGCTCTTTTTGACAGTAGCAAATAATTAGCTGCAATTAAAAAGGCGTAGGAGGGCCAGGGAAAAGGAATATTTTAAGTGCTACATTAAATTACATAATATGAGCATTAAGTCATCCCAGAAAGGTGGTGAAAAGTGAAAGTTGTTCAGTTGTGTCTGACTCTTTGTGACCCTATGGACTGTAGTCCACCAGGCTCTTCTGCCCATGGAATTCTCCAGGCAAGAATACTGGAGTGGGTTGCCATTCCCTTCTCCAGGGCATCTTTCCTACCTAGGGATTGAACCTGGTCTCCTGCATTGAAGGCAGACTCTTTACCATCTGAGCCACTAGGGAAGTAAGTACATATACATGCAACATCTCCAGATCAAGGAACAGGTCTTTAGTAGGTTTCAAAGAAACACTAGCCTCCCTATGTAGGAAAGACAATTACTATGCATAATTCTAAAGGTTACCACATCAAATACATAGCTCTTCTTGTAAAGCATCACAGTAATCTGAAAAAGAATTATTCATACTTTCCAAATAAACACAAAATAAACCACATAATTCTGAATAAGTAGTAACAACTTTATTTTAACTCAACGTGCTGAAATGCAAAAAATATTTTCAGCAATAAGATACAAAAAGTATGTATCTCATCATTTGACATCAGCTGATTAAAAATGAGGCTGAAAAGTTCAATGTGTCTTTATACATTTGAATCTTGAAAATCAATTCCCCCCAGAACTAATTTTTAAATAATTTCAGCAGACTTTTATTTTCAAAAATGGGACTCAAGTTATATCTTCATTCTAAAAAACTGAAGGCAAAAATTAACTGGGTTACAGTATACAATGATAAACTCTAACAACAGAAAAAGATTTAAATATAAGAATTCTTTTTCAAACGTAAAGTCCACATACTGAAAACAGAAGACACGGTGTGGTGATTTCATTCTGAGTGAAGAGGAAATCTCGCATGGTAGGCACTCAATATTTGTTCAACTGGACCTAAAATTTACATCATTCCATTTTAACACTTAAACAAAGTAGAGCTCATAATCTGTATAAAAGAGGTTTGCAAAATACTCTTATGTGTGCTGAAAGTGCTGTCTTTATAATCTGAAAACACTAAAACCCACCCACCCACCTTGTTTTGCAAGAATACACTGAATATTTTCATTTTACCCATTAAAGAGCATGAACATCCAACTCAAAATTATTCACCTCTTCAAGTAGACTTGGCTTTGAGAAAAGCTTGCTGAGCTGGACTTAAAACAACTTACTGAAGTCCCTAGTGTTCTATTTTAGTTAACACCAGGAAGCATACAAAGATTCTGTTTAGATTTTGAATTTATGCACAAAACTTAAATGGGTAAATAAATTAGTTAATTACATATCTGGCAATTTAAGCTCTAACTTAAATCTAGTTTAAAAATAAAACAATAATGTTCATGACAAATTTTTAAGAGATCTTCATTAACATTTTTAAACTCAATTTCAAAACTGATGTCCTAAAAAGGCACTGTTTTCACATTTCATCATGCAGTAAATTGGTCACATTTTTGAGAATTATAATTTCCTCAATTGTCCCCCCAAATAAAGCACATTTAAATGGAATACATTTCAACTAACCTAAACTTTCAACATTTAACTGAGTCCTATTTTCAGAAATTCACTTTTGAACATACCACACACAAATCCAAGCAAATATACATATACACACATACACACGCATACACACTTGCCTAATGACCACATAATACATGCAAGGATCTCCAATTACTATTTCAAGACAATGACACATGAGTATTCAAGGAGGTAACAATGGCAGGCCATATGTGATGGCACCTTCATATTTGTGCTCCAAATATCGATACACACTAAAATTAAAAAATGAAAAAGGCACAAATATAGTGTTTCTGTATCTCAATCTAAAGAACAGTTCTCCAACGGTTACTTTTATAATATGTAATGTTTAAGACCAGTAACTACTTTTCTAAGAAAGAGCTGTTTAGGTGACAAAAGGGACACAGGAGCAGGCTTTAGTTTAAAAGGCAACACTGCTTTGGACGAAATCTGTGTCTACTGAAAATCATGTGTATAGTTAAAAAAAAAAAAGCTATTAGAACACTCACTTCAGAATACATTAACAGTTTTACATTGCCTCAAGAACCCACAATACCAAAAATATACATAATAAATAAAAAAAATAAATCAACTACCATGTGATTCTGTTAACATAATGGTAGGCATTATATTATCTGAAAAGTGGACATTTCTACAAACGTGGATATCCTTAGAGCACAGTGTTTGACATTTTTGGTACAAAATGTGCTACCAAACTAAAAAAAAAATCTTTATAATAAAACCCTTCAGATTTGCAATAAACACTAAAGTAAGGGTAAGCTGAAATGTACATTATAGATGTTACCACTGAAGTCACTATGGTTAGAAATGTAGATTCAAGCAGTGAATTAATTCATAATGCATCTGTGTGCATTCGATATAAATGGATACACCAGTATTTTTTTTTAATATATGACAACAAAATTCTAGGGCCTCAGAGGCGAGTGTTTTTCTTCTAAAACCCTGGCAAAACCTCAAATCCTTAAAGTGTGTGTGTGTGTGTGTGTTTTTACACTGCACACTGTAAATTTAAAAGGCTCAATCTTACAGTTTAGTTAAGAAGTGAATTTCTGCCCCTTATAATACTCTTACATAGACTTCTGCTCCCTATAATACTCTTCCATAGGACAGAGTCCATTCATATGTAAGAATCCTTCGTCTATCCCAAGGTAGTCTTTCAATATTAAATTTAAGTTCATACAACAAAGACTCAAACTACAAAAGAAGAAATGAAGATATCTGAAAATACCATCTTTTCAAACTTCAGTCTGATGTGGATAACAAATGATTATTTGACAGTGTTTGTTCAGTGTAAATATGAATCATTCTTGGTATATTAGGATTCAGTAAATACCTAATAGATAACAAAAATAATATCTATTTTAAAACTTTAGCTTCATTTTTTTTTTCCTTTTGCCCTAATTTCAAAAACTAAATAAACGAATTATGCAAATTTTAATCTGGAGAATAGTTACATAGGTAAATATATAGATATAAGCATTCTTTTTTCCAGTGACACACTTTTTCCCCATGTGGTCACACACATATCCTGCCTAAGAAGCATACTACCACTGTTAGAGGAAATCCGATGCAGCACTTGACACTGATCACTCCTGCTTCGCCATGACAATGCACTAGAGCAGACCTCTGCTGTGAACAAACTGAAGATACGTATGTGTTTTAAAGCTAAAATTCATTTATAATAAAGAACTGGCCTGTGAAAAGCAGTTTATAGTTTATCCTGTTCACATTACGCATTATTTCAATTATTATCCACAACGTTGGTATAGTAACTGAGACAGACAGGAGAAACCTAGGGAGGAAAAAAGGTTTCAGAGTGTAGCCTGACATATTTCTGGGGGTCCTCTCCTTTGGTCTTCGAATAATAACAGTTCATTGTTTTTAGAAGGAGAGTAGACTAGGATTCATTTACTGCTTAGGTGCCTTCTCCGAAGTGTGATAAAACAGTAGTAAATTCAACAATGAATATCTGAAAGTCAAGCCAATGTAACTATAATTGGGAATACCTTTTTTAATCTATTATCACAAACATCCCAGTTGCCTCCATCTTTCTTAAAAAATTCTTTCAAAAGTTAAGACAATTAATTATACCACATCAATTCCCTCAAAAGAAAAAAAAAAAAAAAAAGAGTACCATTTAGCATATAAAAGTTACACGTTAAAAGTGCATATATATCTTCCTTAATTGGCCCAGTCATTAAATTTACATTTGGTCATCCTTACTTTTAACATATAGAATTCTTCATGTAAATGTAGGTCACTATAAATTAAAAAAAAATTAATTCAGCACTAAACATGCTTTCTTCTTATTGAAATCTTAACCTCAATCAGTTCTCAGTCATTGTAAACTTGGATAAACTCACAAAGAAACACAAGTAAAGGTTTGTTATGCTTCTCTTAGTTTGTTGGACAGTTAACATATAAAAATCACAAATTTCACTAAAAAATGGGCCAACTCATTGCATATTTGCCCCCTGAAATGAAAAATAAATTAGAACTGAAGCAGTGTATTGCCATAACTTACCTTGAAGGTAAGCAGGTTCTCCTGTATTTATAGAACTTAGACTAGAAACATTACCAGTCATCTCCAACACAAGTGCTTTTTTAAAGGAAAACCTAGTTTTAAACTTTTAGTACAGGACAAACCCTACAAAATTCATCTGCCTTTCTCAAACTAATGGAAGATCCTTTTGAAACTTACTATCTTCAGTTATCAGTATTACTGCATTATGGAGCTAGTGCAATCCTGCATAGCCTTGGTCTCAATGACAAGGCACAATAAAAAAATTAAAGTATTACATGAACAAGAGAAGTCACTGAAGATAATTTAAGGCCTTGAAGTGAATTAGAGTATAATCAGTCTAATTTAAAGCTGAAGAATAAACCATAAATTATCCACCTGAAATGCAAGCAATATGCTTTTTCAGCTTCTGTTCTGTGGACAAGACAACAGAAACAACTCTTGCTTATGGTTTGTGTATTAGAATCCTTCTGGACCTGGAGGAGTAAAAGTCAATTCCATTTTTCTACAGTTTATGGAAGGTTTCAAGACTGTTTTAGCCGTTTTCGTGGAATACCAAACTGTGGACACTGTGCAGATGCTAGTGCTCGGAAGGCTTCTGCTACCAAATGTGGGTGAGACTGAATCATGGACTTCCACCCAGATGTTTCCATTATGTCCGCTGCTTGGCTGAAAAATAAAAGTAAGAGATGTTTACTAAGGAGTACTTTTCAAAATGCATTGTTGCACTGTCATTTTTTTTTTTTAAATTTACAGATTTCAACATTCTGTCTCCCCTATGTATTCACACCACTTGAATTCATCAAAACATCGTCTTCACCTTATCGGTATTTTCTGTTGTAACTGAAACTGTGCAATGTTTCTGCAAATCCTGCCCTCCTCAAGTGCACGACACTGGTCTGCAGGGCTCCACTCCACTGTCACCACCCCCACACCCACTCACGCAGGAGCTCCTTTCTCTGGCTCTTACACACAGGCTTCCTCTGGAGTGCCACGTGCCGCCCTCCACTCTTCTTTCATCTTATCTCAGCCACTTTCACAATTTTAACTAGCATACTCAACAATGATAAACAGTGATTTGCTAAGTCCTAGACCTCCCCAAAAGGTCTGTCCCCAACCGCCTGTTCTCTTTACTTGGATGTGCCTTGAAAGCCATACATTTCAGACTGAGGATAAGAACTCAGCATGTCTCTCTTGATCCCTAAATTCTTCCTCTTTCATTTCCAATCAGCTCATGCTTCCACCATCACCCAGTGATTCAAGTCAGAAACCTGGGAGTCACCCTAGATACCATCCTTTCCAATCAATCATTAAAGCCCTATTTGAATTCCCAAAGGTATCCTGAATCCCTAGTTAAGGCCAACAACATCTCATGCTTGAATTATTATAAGTCTCCTAATTTCTCTTCTACTCTCCTATCATGCTCTTCTCAAACCAGCTTCCATGCTACCTCAGCAATAACCACCTTAAAAAGGTCTTCTGCTGTCCTCCAATGCCAGTACACAGGTTCTTCAGAAGGAGAGATGAGAAACACAGCTTCTGAGTTCTTCCCCCAGCTTTCTACCTCCCATTCCATGCTTTGGCACTTTGTGTAATATTAACAACAACAACAATACTGTTTATTGGTAAAGGATGTACACCATGCTCTGAGTTAACACAATTACTCCAGCAGCAAATCCAGTTATCCTTGCTTGTCTCCTGTCTTCTCTGCTTTGTACCTACCTACCATCCAAATGATACCCAAATGTTACAGGCTGTGCATTCAAAATATTACATCCTTTTATTTCCCTCTAGTCCCACCATCACTAATCAAGTTCAATTTTTACCTTCATCTCTTGCCTGAACTACTTCAATATCTTTCTAACTGGCCTACCTACACATAACCATGCTCCTTAATTACCAACACCACCTCAACCGCCCCATGCTCAAGCACGTGGAGAGACTGCTAACACACACACCTGGTCATATCCTACTCCAGGTTAAAGTCTTTTACCGTATGCCCATCCTCTTTGAATAATGTCCAGAAGCCCTGTTATTTAGATGGCCTTCCATGATCTGATCTTTGCCTTCATTCTCCAGCTTCTCATACGCCTCGTCCCCAGACTGTTCTTTCTTATCTTCAAACTGTTGCACACCTGTATTTTTTTGGGGACATACCTTTCCACCTCTTCCCTCTTCTTCACCAGGGTAACTCCTGCTAATACTTCAGGTCTTTATACAACAATTCTTCAAAAGGACTTTCTCTGACACTTAGGTCAGGTCTCTTTGCTATACGCTCAGATGGGTGTGCTCTCTGCCTTACCTATTATTATACTTTATTTCAACTACTTTGATTAGTTTCTGTATATTTCCTGTTAAACCATAAACTCCATGAAGGCACGAAAAACATATGCTGTGTTCATAAATATCTGTCAAATGAATGATCAACTATTGCTTCATGCATCTACACTTGGATTCAAGCGATGCTTTCTGTCTGCAATGCCTTTTATTTCCTCCTCAGTTCTGCTTATTCTTATTCAGATTTTAAGACAAAGCTCAGTCATCTCTACGTCTAAACCTCCAGCCTTGTGTCCTGCACATACCCTTCTTTATGACATTACTTACCATATTATAAGGAAACATGCATGGATGTGTTTCTGTCATTAGATAAATTTCTTAAGAACAAGGATTTTTCCTCATACTTGTTTTTACATGCAGCACCATGCTAGGCACATGTTTGCTGAACAAAACATTAGCTAATAACAATTAAAAAATTTGCCTGACATAAAATTACTAGTGTACTTCCACGTTTACAATTTCAACTCATTGTTTAGAATCACAGATTATTAATATACCTGATGTTTTCATTGATTTAATTCAGTAAGTATCTATTGACAGTTTCTACATTATAGTTTCTACATGGGATAGAGAATAAGCTTATATTTTTTGACACTGTAAAATATTTTAACAGACTAAAATCAGAGATTGAATGTGGCAAAGTATGAAGCATCACAAAATTATCATTCTGTTTTTTTTTTTCTAGGAACACATACCATGATAATGTATTATCTATCACATACTGACCAATATATAGACTAGCTAGTATTTTAATATTATTCACTCATTTTTACCTTCAGAAAACAGAATTCACGAACTATTAAGAATTCAGTTAACCAACTTCAAATCTATCAAAACAGATGAAAGCAAGGGAATCGTAAGTCAAACATTCATTTTCTTGTCTTTGACACAATCTTTTTCTTACATCAATTTTTGATAATTTCCAAGAACAGAGTTTAACAGTTTGTAAGCAAAAACTAATCAAAAGCAGATGCAAATTCTTCAACCTACTGACTCTCCTTTTGATTTTGAGTAACTGCAAAGAGTAAAAAAGTCACTCTAAAAGTGAGTGAAGAAAGGGGAAAAAAAGGGAATAATAAATTCTCATGGTTATGTCATTCTGAAGATTCAGGCTTAGAAAGACGTCACGACTGCCCTGCTCCCTAGAGTTTTACCAGGGGAAAGATCAAATTGCTACCATTTCTGGAAGGCTAGGTAATTAACCTAATGCAGAATGTGATGCAAAGTACCTGGCTGCCCTAAGAAGCAGTGGCATTCAAATGTCAAGACTTTCCAGGCAAATCTGGAGGGTACATTTCCTCATAGGATAAAATAAATATTTCCCACATTTTTAGAAAGGCTTCCTGAAGCGGCAGGCATAGGGTCTCTAGTAATCACTGAAATACCTGGACTGAGCTACATGCCAATATGAACATATATGTCCATCCCAGTTCACATTATAAGCTGATCTACAAGGGAGCATAGCCTCAAGAATCCACTACGTGGTTAAATTATTATTTTTTTAAACTGGCAGTTTGCTTCATGTCACTAATATAGCTGGATTCATACTTATTGTAGATGAACAAAAGGCTATGCAACAAACACTTAATTTCATGTATGCAGATCAACTTTAAGTCAGAAACTGATGTCATCTTACTTGCTGTTCCAGTTTTTCCCATCTTTACACCCAAGCTGTCGAAGTACACTGCACCTGCATTGAAGATTTAAACACACTTAAGAAAAAGTCAGGTGGAAAACTGTTGAAGGTGTCATGTCCACTGAAATACAAGCACAGCTTACCTATTAATAAAGTCTATGGCTTGTGCTTTCAATTGTTCTGCACTGTGCAAATCTGCAAGGACAAGGGTATCAGCAACATTTTCTACTGAGAGGTTACTACACAAAGCTTCTTCACACATGACCTTCAGCCGTTCCAGTGCATACTATCCAGAAAGGAAAACACAACATTAAACATTTATTCAAACTACCAAGTTCTAAATACATGATATTTATAACTTAGAAAATGAAGTTAAAGCATATTACACATCGAACTGAGGGTACTTTAGTCTTTCAAGTTATTTTAAGTATAAAGAAAGTATGAGTTACTGCATTCAAGACAAAGACTAGTTTTTCTTAAGAAATTTCTATCTAAGTTCAAGATACAGGATGAAATGCTAACCCACTCCAATATTCTTGACTGGAGAAACCTGTGGACAGAGCAGCCTGGAGGGCTGAAGTCCAAAGGGACACGACCGAGTGACTGAGCACACATGTAAGGTACAGTGTATTTTTAAAACAGAGGTTTATACTTTAAAAACCTCTTAGTACTCAAAAAACAAACAAAAAAATACCCTTACTACTCAATACTCTTAATGAGTATATTTCTCTTTTCTACTATTTTAAACACCAGTCAGGACACTGCATATTGTCACTACTTAATCCTGAAGAAAAATTATAAAGATTAATACTCATAACCATAACTTGTATTTGACATACATGTGAAGAGAACATACTTGGCAGCTTTAGTGAGGTGTAACTGACATACAAGAAAATGCACATATTGGAAGTTCATACAGCCACATAATCATCATTAAATCAAGAGTGAACACAGTTATTATCCCCAAAGTTTTCTTCTACCTCTTTGTAATCCTCTTTTCTCACCCCACCCCAGGCAAGACCTCTGATATGTTTTCTACTGCTAGAATTCACATTTTCTGATGTCTTCTATAAAAGAAATCATACAATTTGCACTTGTTTTTATCTGGCTTCCAGTCATTATAATTATTTTAAGATTCACGCATGCTATTGTTTGTGTATCAGTAGTTCTATGCTTTTTATTCTCAATGGTATCCCATTGTCTGCTGATGAACATTTGGGTGTTTCCAGTTTTTAGCCGTTACAAATAAAGCTGCTATAAACATTCATATAAGTCATTAAATGGGCATATGCTGTCTTTTCTCTTGAGTATAAACCTTTAAATAAATGCACTGGATAATATAGTTAAGTGTAAAACTTAAAAAAAATTGCCAAACGGTCTTTCAAAGTGGTTGTATCATTTTACACTCTCATAAGCAGTATATGAGAGTCCACATCCTTGACCAGACTTGGTATGGTTTTAATAATTTTAGCTGTTGTAACAGTCATAGAAGTATCTCACGGTGGTTTTAACTTACAAACCCTAACGAGGTACAGCATCTTTTGATATACTGAATGGACATTATTTTAAGAAGTGTCTATTCAAATATTTTTATTTTTAGAAATAACTTTGTTTACTTATAATTGTTTTGAGAGTTCTTTATATAGTCTGAATATTGAAGTCCTTTATCATATATCTGGATAAAAGCTGTTCATCAGTTATGCTTTGCAAATATGTTCTTCCAGTCTGTGGCTAGTCTTTTTATTCACCTGTGTCTTCTGAAGAAGTTTTAAATTTCACTGAAGCCCAATTTATCATTTTTCCTTTTAGGTATTTTTGGTGTCATAGCCAAGAAGTCTTTGCCTAGTGTAAGGCTATGAAAACTTTCTCCTATATTTTCTTTTAGAAGTTTAAGACTTGTTTAGGTTTACAATCTATTATGTGCTACTTTTTGTATATGATGTGAGGTACACATACAGAGTTTGGTTTTTTTCAAGAGTTCAACCACAGTTCATCTTTTTGGTACAGACTACCAATTCCTACAGGACCATGTACTGAAAAGACTATCGTTTCTCCAATCAACTATTCTTGCACTTTCATCAAAAATTATATAGTCATACATGTGACAGTCTATTTCTGTACTGTCTATTCTGCTTCAATGAGTTATTTGTCTATCCTGTCACCAATACAATGATGTCCAATACTAAAGCTTTATGAATTCTCTATTTTATTAATAATCTTTTTCAAAGTTATCTGATTATTCTAGGTCCCTGCACTTGCATGTAAATTTTTAAAACAGCTTGTCAATTTGTACACCTCATCCCTGCAAAGGCAAGCTAGGACTTTGATACTGACATGCTGGTTCTACTAATCAAAAGAGAAGTAAAATTTTTCTAGTCCATTAACAAAACTTTCTCTCCATTTACTGAGGTGTACCTGAATTTCTGTTATCAGTTTATTCAGCATACAGGTCTTGAACAACTTTTGTCAGACTCATGTCTACGTATTTTGTATTTTTCATTCCATTATAATGGCATTTCTACATTTAAATTCTGAGACAGTCACAGATTTGAATAAGTTGTAAGAAATAAGACTCCATATACACTTGTCCCAGTTTCTCCCAATGGTAACATTTTTCAAAATGAGTGTAATTATCACTATAAATATGTATTCATGTATACACATACAGACATATACATGGACAGAAGTAGCATGGATATTAGTACTTTTGGAGAAAGCTCCCAATGAGTTTTAGCATTTTCAGGACTGAGAACTACTGACTTTGAAATTTCCTGCCACTTTTACACTGTTTCCCTATCTTCAAGAAATAAGCACTGTAAAAGAACATTACAAAATAAGATTTTTTTCTCTATATCCTTGTATCAAAAAAGAAATCTTATGAATACAGGATTAAATGAGAAAAAATACACAATATTTTCTTCCTTTTTTATAGATAAATGTCATGCACTGTATCTTAAGACTATCTCAAAATTGCAATAAGTTATACACACTACTGTGTGTGTGTGTTCTCATAAAACAGAGTAAAGATACACTCAAAACTACTGATTCTCAAGTTAACATTCCATTTGTTCCATATATTCTAAATTAGCTCAAGGTATTTTTATGTCTTATGATTTAAAATTTTTTCATTTCCATGTTATCCCACTGTGTTATTTCATAATACTCTCAAGAGGCATCCACGAATAGTATAAATTAATTCAATACTTCAAGTTACAGAGGGTTCTCATTTGATGACAGCTTTCTAGATATGTCAAGTTTGAGGACATTTTTCAGCTCTTTAAGACCTAATTACTTACTTTGTCTGCAGCTGCCAACAAGTTGTCAGCCATTTTGTCAAGGTTTGGTGCTTTCCCTGTGTAAATGAATCTCATCATTTCTTTAAAAACCTCAGGGTCTACATCATTTATTTCCACTCGATTCTGGTATTGAAAACATAAAAGATGTTGTATTTAAAAAAAAAAAAAAACACATAGACAATGAACCAGAGCAAAACTGACAATAGTTTTAAAAGCCCCGAATCTGCACTTAAGCAATGTACAACTCAAATATTCATTTTAAAAGTTAAGCAGGCAGGTCTAAGAAGAAATATACCAAGTCAAGCACTACCATGTAGAAATAGAAACCCCAGTTTCTCAGTTAAAAAGTCAAATACAAATAAAAATAAATCTGTAAGGCCAAACTAAATATATCTTTATTCAGTTTCTGACCACTATCTTAGAGGAAGATGGCTATTAACTTTTTTTGTTTAAAAGAATTAGGTTGTAATACCATGCCTAAGACCCTATAATGGTTCTTAGTCCCAACTTTAAGTAAAGATAAGGTCACGTATTTGAGAACGTATCAGAGTTCACAACCTCAGAAATCTCCTACAAAAACGTGATATTATCTCCTGGTACATCATCTCTCTGCTTGGGACATAGGGACATACTCAAGTCCAAAGACGACTGGTTGCTTTTTAACTCCTGAATCTTTGTATTCGGTTTCTCTCCTGAGATCAATGAAGTTAAATATCTAACACTATATATATATATCTAACACTATATGTGTGTGTGTATGTATGTATATATATAAAACAATATCAAACATTTCTGACCTTTTGATGACAATAACATTTGACATCATTGACCAGAAGACTGATCACACTACCGGGCCAGACCAACAATCAAAAGAAAGAAAGCAGCTACTTTATTGCAGCCTCTAGTTCTGCAGGGAGGAGAAAGCTGAGCCACATAAATAAACTTAGGAGTTGCAATAAGTTGGAGCAATAAGGCTCACATGTAATACAATCAGCAAAAATCAATCTCTGGTCTTTAGTCCGACTACATTTCAAAATGGCAGATGAGAGAGAAATATCTGGGAAAACCAAATGGGTAGTATTACAGTTCAAGTAGACTAATAATAAACATAATTTATGTCCTTTATTGGGCTTCCCTGGTGGCTCAGAGGTTAAAGTGTCTGCCTGCAATGTGGAGACCCGGGTTCGAACCCTGGGTCGGGAAGATCCCCGGAGAAGGAAACGGCAACCCATTCCAGTATTCTTGCCTGGAGAATCCCATGGACGGGGGAGCCTGGTGGGCTACATTAGTCCATGGGGTCACACAGAGTCGGACATGACTGAGTGACTTCACCTATCACCTATGTCCTTTGTTAAATATAATACACAATATTCTTATTATAGTGATAAAAAGAATGTAGGAATTGTTTCTGTTCTAGAAAACAAATTCCAAAATCAACTCAAAAGTGCAACTCAAAAGTCTAGAAAGAAGGAATATACACCTTAACTGGAGAACTCTCAAATAGGTATGGATCAGAACAGTCCTTTTAGATAGCTATCATTTTGATAACAACTATCCACTTATTTTGCTATTGTGACACTTCACGATAGCAATAGCTGTTATTTGGAATGTTAGTCCACATTAAGCTACATCTGTTTTTCTACTATAGAACCCATTTCAACCCATCCTCTTATTTCTTTCTAAAATCATAACAATAAGAACATGCACTGTTACTTTTAAAATATACATTCCAATATTCTACATGTATATAAATTAGATGTGAGCCCTTTAAACAAAGTTTACCTTTTTGCTTTCTTCCATTTCATGTTCAAACATGGCATTAAAAACTGGGGATCGAGCTGTAACAAGATTAAGCATCATTATTTAATGCAAAACTTTATGAAAGAAATGCAATATATTACTCCAAAGTAGAAAGTACCTGCAAGAACAGATTTATGAGCTTTAAATTCTTGTCCTCTCACAAAAAAACTGCAATCTGTAAATCTTGTGTTTTCCCAGAGATTACCTAAATCTTCTGCTAGTCGGCATTCAGGCACCTTTAACGTGTTTGTATTAGTATGTCCTGATATATTTACTGAATCTTGGACCACACTCACCTAATAAAAAAAGGACAGCAAGAAAAAATACTTTCATAAATTAGTATCAGTAGTAAGCTACTAAGTTTCAACCTAAATTTATCATTAAAATCATGTAGAAAATTCAATGTACTCCTTATCAAAAATGCTAACATCTGGGAACTGAGTTTAAAGCCACATATTAAAGGAGGGAAATGATACAGAAAAAAAACTGAAATGAATTAGATAATTTTAAGTGACATTTTACGTAAATAAATGGCTTACTGATTCCTGAGAATGCTCAATTATTAAAGTAATCACAAAAACTATTTCTCAACAACAAAAAATGGTCATAATATGATTCCAAATTCAAATAGGAGAAAATACTTTTGTGAGGAGAAAAAATTTGCAATTTTCTTTATTTCCTCACAATACAGAACTATCAACATTTAAAGTTTATCAAACATACAATAAACACAGCATAACACTTATGACATTTTAGAATATTTTAAAATGTTGTTTAAAACTACAGACTATAATATACAATTTGGGCAGCATTTTAAGTGTTGTCCCTATATGTTTCAATGCTAGTAACACTGATTTAAATATTTAGCAATATTGATTTAAATTTTAAAGTATAAGAATTCTCATAAAACAATGTAATTTTAGTGTTCATGGAAATCTTTCATGAAAAAAACAGTAAGAATAATATAACTTAGTTCGATTCGAAGACCTTTAATTTACGTATGAAATAATCAATCAATAAAAGTAGGTTTGATTAAAACATTGCTTTTACATGGAGCCCAACATAATATGGATTAAATTATTTCTCATTAAAGGTTTTGAATCTTTTGATATTTTGAATGAAATCTTAAAACACCATAAAGTTTGGCACAAACTTTAAGAAAAGGAATACACTATTAATATTACTAGAAATTTCATATTTAAGAAGTGGAAGAAAATACTACCTCAACTAGTAAAGCAAATGTTTCAGAGCAAATGAACCATCTTTCACAAAAAATGCTGTTGTGGTTACCTACATTTTTAGCTGCTAAGTTTTGTGGTTGTTTGTTTTGCAGCAATAGATGACTGTTAATTTAAAGCCGTATTTCATAAGGTTTTCTTTAATTAAAAGTAGGTATGTACATGGACAAATAAACTATGTAGAAATTGTACACTGGAAATGGATAAAATGGACCAAATTACTAACATGCTAAGAAAGTATAATAGTCTAATATAAAATGCTTGAGAATATTAAGTCTCATTAGTCCTTACTCACCTAGATGTAATAACGTCTATTTCATACAAATGAACAGACACTTCTAAAGAAAATCTTTATTTTCTGAGGATATTCTCACTAATCTTTCTGTTTCCCTGATTTTATTAATCTTTTTGAAATCACATGCTATAAAAATCATCTAATCCAATCACCTTATTTTATTAAAAAATTTGAAAAAGTGAGATTCAGAGAAGATAACTCAAGTGTCCTAAATCCACTGCTAGTCAGTATCAGAGGACGACTAGATCTACATTCCCATATTCCCTTTTTTAGCATTCTTTGCACTATACAGTATTTCTCTGGATTTTTTTTTAAGGTAGTAGTATTAACACTTTAATGCAATTATGGCTCTGAAGGGATTTATTGCAACAATCTTGTAAGAAGTTTTTTCAAATACAGGAGCTAAGACATTATACACATAAATAAGTCCTCCAATAAAAATTCCATTAACTTTTAATTATTAATTATTCAAATTGTTTCTAAAATTTTACAAATTACAAAACAGGCAGGGGGAAAATCTTCAGTAATTTTTACCTGATTGCTGTTATATCATACATTATAACTTAATGATACTTAAATAAAAAATACTGGTATCACTATTCAGGGTTTAGTCAAGGGTCACAAAGACACTATTTACTTGTTCATATCAGCACTGCTCTTATAACTTGTAGTGAGCAAAAGCTGGAGTGAATTAACAGATCAGTTACTTGCATAAAGTACATAGTGGAGTAGTGCAGTCATAAGAATGTGATCATATTTAAATTTAGGAAAGGATTTCTTAAGTTCTATTTATTGTTTAATTATCCTAACTCAAAACAATATATTTAATGTGAAAGTTTCACAAAAATCAGGTGATAGAAGGAAAAAAGATTAAAAAAAAGATATTTCATAGATATTGATGTTATATTTGACTATATATAATCATAATTCAGAAGGATTTTTAGTACTGGTATACATGTCTACATATAATTATCACAGCAGCCACAAATTCTAAGTAAGACAGAATTAACATTTCATACACTCTGAAGAGTATTCAAGGGACTAGAGAGCAGAAATTAATGATCTAATTTAAACTGTTATGCAATGAGTTATGATGATATTTTTTCTGATACCTATAATCAAGAAATTGGTAAAATTTTAGCTTTTTCTAGCACATACTCATACTCAAATATAGATAATGAACATTCTTAAGAATGGAACTTAGAGTAAAAAAAAATTCAGAAGAAAGGCTGAGATTCTTTTTTGAAGTGGTTGGTTCTTTCAAAATAAAATGACAAATGCACAATACTCAAAACTGACAAATGCTGCAAAGTAATACCTCAAACCCGTTTGATGGCTCTTTTTCAAATTTGCTTTTGGCTCAACTCTGAGGATATAATTCAGACTAAAGATGAACACGTGCAGGCTCTAATCAGCTATGACTGTCCTAGAAATCTGGGTCTCCCCTAGTGTGGAATTAAGGTGACTAATGGTTCCTATTTTTAAAACTCTCTCAATTCTCTAAACAAATTGTAAAGACTAGCTAGGAATTTACAAAGGTGCACAGTACTACAAATCTTGATGCTCTAATCAACTATTGAACCATCCCTCACACTGGCTCCAAAATGAGAAACTTCTAAGTAGTCCAATTTCATATCACTTTCCTGAACAGTGGGTCTCAGACTTCCTGGCTTTTAAATATAGGTATCCTTTTTTAGAAACTGGGTGATAGAAATATGGTTGTCAATTTTCCATTTTGTCATTTTTAGAGAATAAAACCCAACTCCCATCCATTACCAAAAGTATATTAAAACAGAAAGGATAACTTAGTAACAGAAAAATAGGAGGAAAAAAAAGTTCTAAATGAATTAATTTAATTTTATGAAAAATTCATTACCTATTTATCTATCTGTATATAGTCTTCTGTTTACTACAGACTAGCATGGGTCTATAGATTGAGACTATTTAAAAATCTGTTGGATTCCAAAAGATAAATTAATCTAACCAATTTTCTATTTTTCCTACTTAGTCTTCAATTCCTGTTTTCTGCATCATTTTGGAAAAGAAGAGGCAGAAAGAACTGTTTACACTGACAGAAATTTCTAGCTCTGGCTACTTGATTCATAGGACTTGCAAGATTACTTATGTCTTGCACAAAAGGGTAGCAGCAAACTGCCTTACCTGTCTACAGCACCACTTGCAGGGGAGGGGGAGGAGGCAGTTCTTTAGGCAGTGCAGTGCAATGCTTCCTCCTCTTCTGCAAGCAGTGCTGGAGATGCTGTAGAAGGAAGGGCATCAATGAGAGGTACGGAAGAGACGGTGGACGGCATGAGGCAAGTTTGTTTAAAGCCCACCTATGTTAAATACATTGCCCAAGGTATGAATGTCTGTATCAGTAAAAGTATGTATTATAGTATCTAACACTAAATGTGATCAACTTAAAATGTATGTCACTGGTGGGTTCTATTTTTAGGAGGTGATGAGCATGCAAAATTTAGCATGTGGATAAAAAATATTCTTCAAAAACATGTATCAAAATAAATCTTAGTTTCAGCCTTCATTCTGAATTTTTTAGTTGTCTAGGTTCCAATAAAATATACTTAGGGAAGCATACTTTAGTAAACAATATTTCAATTCTAAAAACAGAAACATTTTCTTAAAATTCACAAAAAGACTTTTAGCTGCAGTAGGTAGATTTTTTTTTCCTTAATTGGATTACATAGCCTACTGTCCTTTAAATTTGTGATTAAAAGAAATTAGTATGTTGAAATTTAAGATTATTAAAATTCTGAAAAGATTCTACATTAAGAATGCTTAAATAACACACCCTATAATTATTTAGAATACTACTTAGAATATCTCTCTATTGGCAACAAATGCTTTAGTGTATATTTTTATCAAATTATTTAATGATAAGCTCTGCTCAAGGCACTTGTGCTATGTGCATTATCAACCAAATAATAGTATTCATAACAAATTCATCTTATAGTTCATTTAACTTGTTTAAGTGAAAATAAGATGCATTCTATTTGCACTATGTAGTCTCTGGGGCCGTATTTCAATTATTCTTCTGACACAGCATAATGACATATAATTAGTTTGTAATCCTGCCAAGAAATTTTACACATTTTCTATAAGAAGCATCAAGCTAATTCAGTAGCAGTTAAGTAAGTTATTGTGCTTTTAAGACACTCATCTGTCTACAATAACCTACTGAAATATATTTAATGTTAAGGTTACCCTATCATTTCAACAATTCATATAGATAAAGTATGTAATAACAATGACAGAAGCTAGTTCAAGACTCAAATTAAGACAAATCATAAGTGTAAATTATTGGAAGGGGCAATGCTAGCAACTTTCAAAAGATGGCATTTCATGCATATGATTATATCATACATTTGTCAACAAAGGTGTAGATTAAAAATTTTGAGATGCCATTATTTATAATGCTAACATCTATTTGAATAAATGAACAAAAAGCTTCCCAATCTTTTCTCAGGCACTTTCACTACCATGCAAGTATGGATTCAAACTGATAAGCCACTATATTAATATCACCAATCTGAATATGACAAAAAATGCTGACCATTTAGAATTATTCAGAATGAAGAAGATATTTAGAAATTTTCATATAAAGTCATACACATCCAGAGTCTTTGTATGAGGAAAGTATGTGACAGTATAACTGTATAAACAATTTATAGCTAACAATAGGAATTTTTGCAGGCTGATTACTATACTGATTTCTAAGAACTTGTCAGCTTTTACTGTTAGAATAGTTATATAAAACCTTACCAGTTATACCAGTTAGTTAATTTAAAAAGTGCAATCAATATTGTTATAGTGTATATTTTTGCTTTACTACTAACTATAACTAAACACTGAATTCCTTGAATAAAAAAATGTACCCACCTCACAAAATAATGTAAGCTTGTCATCTGGTAAAAGACCATTAGCTTCATCAAGCAAAAAATCTCTTCGAATGAATTTTTTAAAACCCCAGTCCTTCCCTTGTACAAATCGATATGCTCTTTGGCTTTCTGGTGGAAAACACAATATAAGTTTAAATAAAACAAGTATTCAAGAAATATTCTGCTAATAATAACAATTAAATGAATGTGCAAAAATAGAACTTGACCAATACATCCATCATAAAAATTATAGATATGTGTTTTCACAAGTAAAATGTCAGGAAGAATTACACTAGATAGAACCAGATCATTTCACAGCACTATCACAAATTCTGGCTATTATCAATGAGCTCACTTTCAGATTCCTAGATATCTAAGTAGAAGAAAAGCCAGATCAAATCTCAAGGAGAAGGAAGAGATCTTTCAAACAATCTAAGTCCTTTAATAAGAAAGTAGGATCAAAACACATTGGCAAAGGCATAGTATTCACTATCTAATATTAGAACCAGATTAGAAATATTAATTTCTTGCTTCTTTCTTTAAAAAAAAGGATGCTCTAAATCACCAGGGCCTTCTATAAGCTTTTCTGGGATAACCATCCCACTGATATAAGTTTTATGGAACTAGAGAAAAATCCATTAACTGGAGAAAAAAGCTAAAAAAAAGTCCCCTATCATTTCTTAGGTCTTTAAACATAATCCCATTACCCCTAAAAACAATTTTCATCAAGGTCCACAAGATGGTTTTAGTGTGATCAGTAAAATATTTAATAAATGTCTAAAGTAAATGTTTCTTATGCCTTATATATACTGGTTAATAACTATATACTATGAAATAAACAAGGTCCTTTATAGAAAGCATTCACTATTGCTATACACATTGAAGGTAGAAAACCAGTAATATATCTAATTGAGATACTTCATTTTATGGACTAAGTGTATACCATTGAAAGCTTTATGCTGAAACCCTACCCACAGTGTGATGGTATTAAGAGGCCAATGACTGGGATTAGATGAGACTGTGAGGGTAGAGATCCTCATGAATGGGACTAGTGCTCTTATAAGAGACTCCACAAGCTCCCTAGTCCTTTCCACCATGTGAAAACACAATGCAAAGTTGTCAGGTCTGTAAGTAGAGTCTTCATTAGAATCTGACCATGCTAGAACTCTGATCTTAGATTCTTGGTCTCTAAATTTGTAAGAAATAAATGTTTGCTGCTTATAGGCCACCCAGTCTATGCTACTTTGTTACAGCAGCCTGAACTAAGACATTATTTTATCTTACATGTCAGAATTATGAAAATACATGTGAAACTATGTATTACTTCAGCAAGGAGATATATTATTTAAAATGTGCTCTGGAGAGTTTTTTGTAATGATGTTACTTGATTTTCTTAATCACTTCTGGAAATCACTTAAAATTTAATGTATAATATATTTTCCTGCTATACACATTGTACATTTTCTACAATGATCTTTTACTATGAGGTGCCAGGCTACATTTTCAGCTGGCTATAATTCAGAAGCTTGAACTGAATTTAACAGGTTCTAAGACTAAGAAAAACCATTTCCTTTCAGTCACTGTTTAGTCCACTGCTCAAAAAAATTACAGTCACAAAATATCAGGGCATTGAAACATCTTTCACATTGTTCTTTAGATTTTATTATCTGGCAAAAATGGCAAGGAAGAAAAAGAAATGCTTTCTGAACACCTATTATATATGCCAGGCACTGAACCAGGTACCTTGTCCTAATAGCAGCTATTATTACAAGTGAAAAATGAATGTCATTTTAGTACATGAAAAATTTAAATTTTAATGTGATTTAAAACTAATTTTACATGTCTTATGAAGACTTAGTGAAACAACTGTAACTTTACCCTGGCATTTAAGATTACCAGCCAAAATGAAATGTTTTTGGTTAAGCAGAAAATAATTTTAGGGAAAAAAATCCTGTTTTTCTAGGTAAAAGTGCAAAAGTCACAGTACATGTACACAGTTACATAAAGACGTCTTCCAGTCAGTTTGGAAATCACTTACCCATTGCTTTTGTTTCTTCCCTTTTAGCATTCAGAAGGGAAAATTTGAATTTTGCTCGAACTTCACTTTTTGGACAGCTGACTAAAAGCAAATATAAGGACAAGTAGTCTTTACTTTCATCATCTAATCCCTTTGGATTTACTCTCAGGCACCATTTCATTTTGTCACTGGGGCTAGATGAGAATGTTGAACTTTTTAACACTTCACCCATTTCTTCTCGACAAAAACTGAAGTTATTAATGGTCCACATGTAGGAAAATTTTACTACTTGTACCTGTGTATAACACCAGCTTTCTGCTATAGGACCGACGGACATATCTCCAGAGAGAGGTGGGGTGGGTTCCCGAGACATTGCCACTTTATTGCAGTCTTCTAAGATGTATGCAGTGTCCCACACAGGTGAGTACTTTACTACAAAGAAAAGAAGTTTCATTTAATAATCACTAAGTTTAACTGAATCAAGAAGGAAGAAGTATTTAAACAGTCATAAAACAATTACTTTCTCAAATTACATTATGAGGAAATGTGACAATTTCATTTAAATTAATGAAAAATAATTTTTTAAGAAATAAATCATAAGCCTTTATACCATGTAATACCTGAATCTAAATGAAGTTAATACTTACAGAAGCTATTTTACAAAGGCATACTTAAATGATCACTAATCAAAAATAAAATACTGTAATAGCAAGATCATAACCATAAAAATCACAAAATAACATGGAAACTTACTGACAGCAATGAATATCTGATCCACTTTCCTTCACCTTTCTATTGACATATATGTGAAAATCAAAAGGGTTAGAAAGTTAGAACAGCCCTGGAAACTACAAATATCACTTACTCATCTGTCAGAGCCCAAAGCTTTGATCAACTATAAACAAAGATCAGACCTAACAGGCAATGCTGAAGAATTATATTTCACAGAACTCTACCTCTATCTCAGACACATAGGTTCTGTGATAAGACTTTGTCCATATCAGTGTTTCCTACCAGATAATATCAACTGTATTATAAAATTTCTTCCCAATTAGCTGTTCTTGAACTACCCATTTGGACACACAATTAATCGTCATAACCCGGCCAGGACATTAGTAACTAGATGATGCTTTCCAATTTGGAAAAGTCTATAAAATAAAGAAGCAAAATCCAAAAGATATACATAATTATTGTACTTTCAGGGGTATGGATGGTTTCAAGATTACATTCTAGTACAAAGATTTAAGTCTGGAGAACTCTTTTTCATTTAAGAATAATTAATGAGCAAAGAAAACTATATGAGTCCTATAAGAAGAAACTACTAAAGGGAAAAAGGGAAGGATTTCATTCAAAATACAGAAGAAAGTATTTTCTCTGAGTAAGTATCATGTTCCATTAAAGGAACAAGAATCAAGATGGCCCCATTCTTCTTATTGTTAAATACATATGGAAAACAGGATTAATTATTACAGAGTTCTAAGGAGAAAGGGGCTGTAGCAGAAAGATTGTACACTATGTCAGGTTTTTATTCCTTTATGATTAAATTATTTCCCCTTTCAATAATGGTATCTATACTAATATACTGACCCAAATGTTATTTATGTAAGTTCCTCACATACGAAAGAGTTCCTATCAGATCACACACTTGCAGCACAATGCAATAAACTAGGGAGCCAGCAGAGTAGCCAGACAAGAAAGTCAGGATGATGACACTGGGCATGTTCTATGAGGAGCACCTGTAAGTCACAAGGACCATTAAAGCAGGGGTGAAGAGTGAAGGTGAAGAAGACGCTCCTTCATGAAGCAAGAAGAGAGGAGATAAATGGTTGGAGGTAGTGAGAGTGCCTCAAAGAAAAGTGAATACACAATTTAGGGGGATTGTACACTGTCACTTTAACAATTATTCGCTTCTACATAAAAATTAAGTACTTCTCTTAATGAAGTACCCCCAGTTGTTGTCTTCAATTACTTTTATAAACTACAATTGGTTATTTACATTTGAAAACAGAACAGCAGACTGACAGTCACAACAGGGAGCTGAGATCACTAATAACAGTACTGTTGTTTTAAAGACTTTGGTTCCCCTTTCACATTTAAACAGTTTTATTGTGGTATAATTTATATATCACAAAATTCACTCATTTTAAATGTACAGATCAATGATTTTTAGTGAGTTTAGTTATATAGCTATGCATTCATAGTTTTCCAGTACTTCCAGTATCCCCAAAAGTCCTCCCCACCCCCAAATTTAGGGAACCACTGATGTGCTCCCCATAGTTATATGTTATCTAGAAATTCCATGTAAATAGAATTGTACAACATGTAGTTTTATGTCTCGCTTCTGCCTTTTCCCCTGAATATGTATCATGGTTTCCTGTTTCTCTGCACATCTCATAATACTTGGCTGAAAGCTGGACTGCAGCAACTCTGCACTCTGATTTATTTTTCTATGCATGGCTGTTTCCTTCTTAGTAACTTGCTAGGATTTCACTGCAGTATCTATAGCTACCATATTGTGTAGCTGCTGCTGAAACCTGTTTGGCTTTTCATTCATTTTTTTTTTGGGGGGGGGGCCTGGTTTGCAAAGCTGCAGGCTGTCCCCTTTCTTTCAAGCCAAGTTTGCTACTTTTAGTTGACAAAGCCATGGTCTTCCCACCCCCTCCTGGCCCCAGATCAAGTCCACCTCATCTGGCAGCAAAGCTCTGATTTTCCTGGCTAGCCCCATTCTAGTAAAACTACCACTGTCTTGGGCTGAAGGTAGAAACAGGAGGAGAAATATGAGTTGGATATTTCTAAGAAAACTCACAGTTAATAAATGTACCAAAAAGGCAATGATTATTGACTTACCCATGTGAAAAGAGCCCGATCCTAGTCAATATTTTTGCCAGTGATTCTGAAGCAAGCTAATAAGCCACCATGACCAATCTTGAAATGAACAAACCAACAAAAGTATTTGCAATGCATAGAGCACACAAAGGGGGTAATTTCCCTAATATTTAATGATTTCCTAAAAATTAGAAAGAAAAAAGTAAAGAATACAAATTAATTCACAGAAAAAGAACTTCACTCATAATTATAGTAGTATAAATTATAACTAAATTAAGAATCCATGTTTTAACCGAACATTATTGTAATAATCCAAAAAAAAATTGGTAAGAGTTTAAGGATTGGCACTCTCATATATTTCTTGTGAGAATATATGTAACATTTTAATAACCTCCCTTCTCATTTTTTTATGGTAAAATTTCTGGCAAAAAGGAAAGGAGATGATGCTAATAATAAGCTACTAATTTTAAAAGTATAAAAACGCCTATGTGTTATTTGATGTCCATGAGAACCAATTAGACGGTTGTCAACTAAGAATTATTTCAAAAAATTCAGAAAAAGATGAAGAAGCAATTTGCAGGAGAATAGCTAAAAGTGGGGGGTGGGGAAGAGTTGAATTTATAATTTGTAATTCATTTTGCAATCAGTAACATATTAAAAAAAAAACCTATACCATTTTTCACTACAGTATAGTCCAAGATTCTTTTAAACTATCAATTCATACAGCCAGGAAAACTACAGGGAAGCATATAAACGCTACTAGCAAATCTTTTCTAGGACAATTTTATAGCTAAGTAGTATCAAGGGAAACTTTTTTTGGTCAGATTCACCCTAGAAATTTATCTTGGGACAAGTATTAACAACTATGGGAAAAGATAAGAGTATGCCTTAAAGGAACTCACTTTAACTAGCATATATAGGCATAGCTCAAGATATTAAGGATTCAGTTCCATACCACCACAATAAAGCACTTATCACAAAGCAAGTCACATGACATTAGTCTCTTCTATAACTATGGAGACTAAATTAGCCACTATCAGAAAATAAAGTACTTTACTTAGATCATTTTTAAAAACTAAGAGTCATTTTCAACAACTGTATAGTATTCCTAACTGTGTTAGCTACCAAGCTTCCAGACTAATGGAATTAGTTGTAGAACTTGGAAGTACTACAAAGATGAATAACAAGTAGTCCTTGTTTTGGAGAAGACTATTAACACAGTAGGAGAGACAGGTACATGTGCGATTACTTTCAATATGGTAATATGGTAGAGGAAGGTACAGAGTAATAACTGAGCACCTTCAGGACAGAAGGATGTGGTCCCTGAGCTGCGTTCTAAAGGAAGCAAACAAATTATAGAAGACCACAAACTATAGCAGAGATTTTAATAGCAGGAGTTCTACACTAAGAACAATGTGAATCATTGCTTAGTCATAAATTCTGTAATCTTACAGATACTGGTTCCTCCTTTTACCTATTAAAAGATTATAGTACCTCATTTCCCAATGGTTGGTGAGTGGATAAAATGAAATTTTATATATACATATATAAATATATAAAGTACTCACACTCAGCATAATGTGATTACTAGAACAGACACATAGCAAAAAAAACTTCACAGGTGACAGCTGAAGATAATTTAGGCAGTGGTGGTTAAGACTGGTAATAACCAAGATAATTAATGTATACCAAAAGTACCTAGAGGCTATCATGGGGTCTTTCACCTCTGAGTATGACAAAATAGCTGGCAAGAGAACTAAGTTACGCTGTGTAGCAGAAAAACCTGGATAAAAATAAAGTAACTATCTATTTAGAGGCATTTAAGAGCTACTCAAGCAATCAGTACAGAGGGTCCCAAGATTCCAGAGGAGGGAATAATCTGAACCCAAGCTGACAAGTCTACAGATACTTTTTTCTAAGAATATTTACTGAGTCTAGCCCCAATATACGTATAGTAAGAATCCAGGCTTTGCCTCAGATTCAGAACCATAGATATGGAGGAACTACATATGGAGGGCTGACTATAAAGTTACATGAGAATTTTCAATTGCTTAGGAGGTTGGTGCCCCTAATCTCCATTTTGTTCAGGAGTCAACTGTATTTGCTGTTTGGAGAAGACTTCAATATAGGCATCCCTCATAGATATTGAGGATTCTAGACCACTGCAATAAAGTGAATAACACAAGTGACTGACAGGAACTTTTTTTCTTTCCCAGTTCATCTAAGTTATGCTTATACTATATTGTAGCTTACTAAATGTGCAGTAATATTTGGTTTAAAAAAAGTGTCCACACATTAATTAAAACATATTTTCTTGCTAAAAATGCTAACCATCATCTATCAAAACCGGGTTGCCATGAACCTTCAATTTGTAAAAACAACAGAACCAACCCCCCCCCCAAAACCCCCACATTATCTGTGAAACACAATAAAGCAAAATGCAATAAAAGTTGTACCTGTGTAAGGGTATAAAATTATCCAGGTTAAAAAGAAAGAGAAAATATATAACTTACATCAGGTACAGCTATATGAAGATCAGATAAAAGATTTTAAAGCAAGAAGCATTAGGAGACATAAAAAGGAAAATAAAATGTGAAAAAAGATCAATCATGAAAACAATTCTAAATTGTCTGTATGCAGTATGATTGATTCAAAAATAATCACAGTGGGAGACTTTAATTCACTTCTGAAAGAACAATCTTAATGACATATATACATATGTAAACATATGTATGTATATATAAAGGGTGGAAGGGATGGAAAAATGCAAGAGGCAAGGAGCAAGACATAACACTCAACAGCAAAAGAATGAAATTTACTTTCAATAGCATAGGAAACATTTACCAAAACTGACCATATTACTGCAGGATAAAGAAAGTCTTGCAAATACTGGTCACTGAAATAATTCAGAGTATAAACCTTAACTGCAGTGGGATTAAGTTAAAAATCAGTAAGGCAAAAATAACTAGAAAATACCTACATCTCCAAAAATTTAAAAAACTTTTCTAAATTTATGGGTTAAGAAAGAAATCACAATGAGAATTAGAAAATATTTTGAACTGAATATTAACGATAAGAAATGTCCAAACTTTTTAAAGATGTAGTTATAATACTCAGGAAATTTATACCTTTTGTGCACATATCAGAAAAGGCAGGCTGAAAATCAATGACTTAAGCTTCTATCTAAAAAAGCTACAAAAAAGTAAGTAAAAACCCAAAGAATGTAGAAGGAATAACAGAGGTATGAACAGGAACCAGTGACTTGGAAAAAAATGTACAAGAGAAAAAAATACAAAGCCAAAAGCTGGCTCTTAGAAGAAAATAGTAACACTGACAGCCTTAGTTAGACTAACCAACAAGAGAGACAGAACCAAATTTACAACACTAAAAATAATGCTCTAAAAGATATCATGAAAATGTTACACCAACTTAACTACCAACTTAGTTGATAATTTAAATAAAATGAGAAAATCACCTGAAGAACATCACTTCCTAAAACTGACATATAGTGTGAAAGAAAAAACCATATATAGTCCTGTTTTTACTTAGTGGCTACTTTGGAAAACTGCAATGTTAAAAGCTAAATAACTAAATACCTTGAAACTCATCAATTCCACTCCTAGGTACACAGCCAAAAGCATACACTCACATGTTCTTCAAAATATATGTACAGGACAGTTTATAGATTGGCCCTAGATATAAATATAGACAAAGCAATAAAGCACGGGTGACTGCCAAAAGCTGAAACTACCCAAATGTTCATAAGTAATAGAATGGATAAGCTGTGGTACATTCATATAGTGAAATATTATACAGCAATGAGAATGAACTATTACAACATGCAGCCTGAATCAATCTCATGAATCTCCTAAAAGTTAAGCCAAAAAAGTCAAACATGCTGTATAAATTCATTCTAAGCTTTAAACAGGCAAAACTAACTTAAGATTTAAGAAGTCAAAAGAGCAGAGGTATAAGTGATAAGGTTTTGAGGAATTATGGATGATATCAAGGTTTGTAGTTTAGAAAACAGACAAGTCAATGATAAAGGGGATTCATGTAAGTCACAATAAGAAGCTGGGTCTTTGGACAACTTAAAAGAGTTTGGGAGTGGGGAAGGAAGTGGAATTATCAACATAGTCAAGAAGACCAGAAATACATATTTTTATTAGAGCTTTAGAGAAGTATACACACAGAAAAATGATACAATTAGTTGAATGTTTAATTATTAGCTCCCTATGTGCCTAATCATGTAAAGATCCTACTACTATTCCAGTAGGTGCTTACTAAGAGGGAATAGCTCATGGATCAGAGGAAGTTTTCTCTGCAAATGCATTTTCAGTATTATACAGAGAATCACTGTGAAAATTTATTTTATAATAATCCACTTCATAGTCAACTTTGTAGAAAGGGCTATCTAAAATGTGTAACTTTTTCCTGAATAGAAGCAATCTAATAATATCAAGAATAAATATTTTGTAAAGGCTTTCTCTTGATATATGCCAGGCTTAAGTACTTGCCTAATTTGACTCCCAAAATAACTCTATGAGGAGGGTAATCACTGCTTCTGCCAATGTTATGGGCGAGTAAAACAGAGTACAAAAAGGTTTACATAATTTGCCCAGGATTATAATGCTAAAATTTGGCAATGCCTGCCTGGCTGCCTGGATTCAAGCCTAAGCTTATACTAAATTCCTATAGACAACCTTTCCAGCATGTTACTAACAGAAAACACACACACACACAAAATCAAAGAAATGAAAAGACAAAGCAAAGGTGATTCATACTCTCTCCAAACTCATATGATACATAAATGGCCTTCTTATCAACTTTCTAATTTCTAGACATCTGGATCATATACTGCAGCCAAAATGGAACTCTGAAAACAGTGCACAGTTCAAGGCAGTTAAGTGAGCACACTTACCTGTCTCTTTTATTTCCCAACATTCCAATGAGATGAAAACAAATTTTTACAAAACAATGAAGTCATAACAGGACTGGAAAATAAGGATGATATTGGTAGATCAGAAATTTTGAGATGTTCAAGGTAGATAAATAGGGACAAATTAGCAGAAAAATCAATTGGATAGGAAAAGATTAGCAGAGAAACTAAAGGAGAAAAACCAGACATTTGGGAAATGGTCCAAAAATGTAAAATAAAACAAAATAACAATGGTAGAAATG